TTGTGGACTTCAACTCCCAGAATTCCCCAGCCAGGCTCTTGGTTTAGAGCAAGGGTGAACAACCTTGGTGACTTTTAAGACTTGTGGACTTCAACTCCCAGAATTCCCCAGGCGGCCTCTCAATTTAGAGCAGGGCTGCCCAGGCTTGGTGACTTTCAGACCTTTGGACTTCAACTCCTTAGAATTCTGGGAGTTGAAGTCCACAAGTCCTAAAGTTGCCAAGATGGGATACCTCTGACTTAAATATTGATTGGTTTTCAAACTACACAACTGAAGGAAGCAACATATGTGTAACATATGTCAAGCACATTCTCCAGAGACGTTGAAGTACAAACATTTTACAAGTCCAGAGAAATGTTATTTCTCAGTAATGAAACAGCCCCTTTTGGGTATTTACTACTGGTAATAGATAAACAAAGGGGGGAGAAAAGATACAGTTTACTGAATTGGAAAAAAAAACACTTTAAAGAATAAACAAACATTTCCAACACATTTCTATAGCCTTGAAAAGAAAAAAAACTATGGTGGGCTAGACAAAGCCAAGAATCCTACAGTATTTCTTTCCCTCATGCAAATTATTATTTGTTTGCTTGAATCACTCCAAGTTGAATACTGCAAAAAATAACCCTTAAATTGACTTACCAGGGTAGTTTTGTCCTCCCTGGAGGTTGCTGTAAGGTTTTTCTCCAAAGGATTTCTCAAAGTCTTAGTTTGACCATTAAACAAATTCCTCACAAGAATTGCCTGCAGAAGCTTCTAGATTGCCATGGCAGGTGTGCTGGTCAGTAACGCTAATTGCAACCACATGTGTGAAGTAGATGATTTTTTTTTTTTTTGGTGCCCAGAATTAATTCTCCAAGTTGGGTTTTCAGTAGGCTTTTTATGCAATACAATATAATAGCGGAGTTGGAAGGGACCTTGGAGGTCTTCTAGTCTAACCCCCTGCTCAGGCAGGAAACCCTACACCACTTCAGACAAATGGTTCTACAACGTCTTCTTAAAAATGTCCAGTGTTGGAGCATTCACAACTTCTGGAGGCAAATTGTTCCACTGATGAATTGTTCTCACTGTCAGGAAATTTCTCCTCAGTTCTAAGTTGCTTCTCTCCTTGATTAATACAATACAATACAATAGCAGAGTTGGGAGGGACCTTGGAGGTCTTCTAGTCCAGCCCCCTGCCTAGGCAGGAAACTCTATACCATTTCAGACAAATGGCTATCCAACATCTTCTTAAATACGTCCAGTGTTGGGGCATTCACAACCTCTGGAGGCAATTTCTGTTCCACTCATTGTTTTCAGTGTCAGGAAATTTCTCCTCAGTTCTAACTTGCTTCTCTCCTTGATTAGTTTCCACCCATTGCTTCTTTTCATGACCTCAGGTTCTTTGGAGAATAGTTTGACTCCCTCTTCTTTGTGGCAACCCCTGAGATACTGGAAGACTGCTATCATGTCTCCCCTGGTCCTTCTTTTCATTAAACTAGACATACCCAGTTCCTGCAACCGTTCTTCATATGTTTTAGTCTCCAGTTTTATGTGGTTATCGGACAAAGCAAAGTGCATTTTTAAAGCTGATATATCACTGTCATTATAACCTCATTTTGCTTCTCTTTTCTCTTGTGTTTTGTGAGTTTTTAAGATTTGTTTTTCTATGTTTGCACGGATGGCCAAGGAAGTGAGTTTATTTGAACTAGAGTATTTACTCCCCCCCCCCCCAATGTACTGGTTGTACTTGACTCACAATTCATTTAGTGACTGTTCAAAGTTAGGTTAATGTTATCCTTTATTAATTAATTGCATGATGACGTATAAGAGGTATTGCATACGAACGTGTCAGCATTCAGCATTCTTTACCCAATCTCAAGTGCTCTGTATTATTTTGCAGCTGTCGCATCTAGGCTGCAAAAAAACAGAAAACCACTAGATGGCATGGAGGTTCAGGTTCTCAGGATCTCCTTGCTGCCATCTAGCAGTTGCTATATATATATATACACCTCTTTCCTAGTGGTAATGAACCAAAAATTGGATTAATTTCGCAAGGGAAATTTGAACCAGAATGACTGGAATGGATACCTGCAATATATATGCAAGTCATTCTGGCTCGAATTTCCCTTGTTAAATCCATCCAATTTTTGGTTTATTACCACTAGGGAAGACATGCTATTAATACCACTGTATATAATTTCACCCCATTTCTGCAGAATATCTTGGCAGCTTTTGCCATCCTCTGCAAACCAGGGGAATTGAAAGAAGGGGAAGGGGTCGAGGGCTTGAAAAGCTTTGCGCTAAAAAACTGGACAAACTGCAGCCTTGCTTGCTTGTTCACAGCAGCCCTCTGCCAGCGCTAAAGAGCCTGTAAGGAGTTCTAATTTTCACAGCACTTGACACGACATTAATTCATTAACCCTCCAGACAGGCTTCACAAAGGAATTAAAGTATTTTGTTCTTTTTTGATAAACAGCCAAAGGAAGGGGAAGCGGGGAAGTGGCGGGGGGGGGGGATAAAATAAGTTTGCCAAAAATCAAAGAATGGCCAGTTACAAATGTGTTCAGTTATGATACCAGCAAAGAGGCTTTAAAAAAAAATCCACTGGGAAACAGATTATTCCTCTTTATGCCTATCTGGGAAGTCCTTGACTTACGGCCACAATATGAGACCAGAATTTTCCTTGCTAAACGCGGCGATTGCTAAGTGAGTTGTTGTCCAAAGCAAAACGGTTTGCTTTGCTATTCGTTAAGTGAACCGCTGCAGTTGTTAAGCCAGTGTTTCTCAACCTTGGCAACTTGAAGATGTCCGGACTTCAATTCCCAGAATTTCTGGGAGTTGAAATCCAGACATCTTCAAGTTGCCAAGGTTGAGAAACACTGTGTTAAGCGAACCATACAGTCGTTAAGCAAATCTGGCTCAACCCCCCCTCTCCCCCGTCCCTTGACTTTGCTTTTTGGGAAGCCAGCTGGGAGGGTCGCAAATGGTGACCCCGTGACCCTGGGGCAGTGCAGCAGTCATAAGGACATGCCAGTTGCCAAGGATTTTAATCGAGGGACTGAGAGGATGCTCTTAATAGTAGCAAGGAAGGGTTGCAAGTCCCTTTTCGTTAGTGACTTGGGTCACTAAAACAAATGCTTGTAAATCGAGGATGACCTGATTAAAACTTCTCCAAAGCTAAAGTGCTCAGTTGGATCTAAAACCTTGTTCAGCCAAAGATTTCCTCATTTTAAATTATTTTGCACTCTGGGTTGGTCACTTGGGACTAGAGATCTAATTGTCCAAGTTTTTTGGGACAGAGTTGTACTCAAGTTAACCCAACTTTCTTGGTACACAAGAGACACAATTTTTTAAATCAGGGTAGCTTGGGCCTCCCAACCCACAACATTCAAACCAAGGCAGTTTTGCAACAGGGTGAGTAAGCGGCAACTGTAGATCCCCCCCTTTTTTAAAAAAGAAAAATGTGTAAATGATTGTGGCAACGTTCCTCGGCGCTAATAGGATGCAACAAGCAGAGTGATTAGAAAAGTCAATCACACCGCCTTAAAATCCCACATTCGCAGCTTTCAAATTAATACAAAAATGTTTTTCTAATTGTCAGTCTGCCGAGTTTTCTTATCAAATTACTTTTCTCATCGGAGAAAATTAAACCTCCTAACAGGGGAGATGGCTGACAGAATGCTAAAGAGGCTTGATAGAATGAGTGCGTTGTGCTCACTAAATGGAAAAGGAGCATTTATGTTTAACACAGATAGACAGATTAAAAACACAGTGTTATTTTCACACTCCTCCTCCTGCTTTAAGCATCAATCTTAAACCACTCCCTGCTTAATCCAGATGAGGATATTGTGGGGGGACTAACTCTCCAAGGCTTAGATTCCAGCACCCATCATCCTTGGCCATAATGGAGTGGCAACTGAAAACCAGTATCTGCAGACCACAGAATCTAGAAGTCTGATCTATATCCTGGGGAGTTGAGGAAGGAAGTTTATTTATATATTAGAGAAGATGTGTAATGCCACCAAGTTAAGCTCGGTGACTCTGGGCGGCTTTCAAAAATAAAATAAAATATATAGATAATCCTTGACTTACAACAGTTCCTTCAGTGGTCGTTTAAAGTTAAAGCGGCACTGGGAAAAGATGTTTTCACACTTACGGCCAACCACTGTGGCATCCTCAGGGTCAAAATTAGGACACTTGGCAACTGACTCATATTTATGACGGCTGGAGTGTCCCGGGGTCCTGTGATCACCTTCTGACAAGTAAAGTCAATGGGGAAGCCAGATTCATTTAACGGCCGTGTTATTAACTGGACAATGGCAATGGTTTGTTTGTCCCCTATTGGCAAAATGGTAGCAAAACATCTTTTCCTAGTGCCGCTTTAACTTTAAACGACCACTGAAGGAACTGTTGTAAGTCAAGGATTATCTATATATTTTATTTTATTTTTGAAAGCCGCCCAGAGT